CGCGCCCGCCGCCCGCCCCCCAAACTTTCCCGCGCCGCGCCCCCACGCCCGCCCCCCGGCTCCCTTCTGCCCTCCTGGGCTCCGCCGGCCCCTCAGAAATGTCATTTTCTGGTTGGGAAAAAAGTTTGGGGAGCCCGCGCTTGGCAGAACACAAGGGGTTAATGGGAACTCCTTACCCCCTCCCCACCCCCCCAAAAAAAATCAGATTGGTGTTTAAAATAAAAGTTTTGCAAAGTGAGCCTGAAGGAGGCATCGGAAGGCTTGTTGGGAATATTCCTAGTGCCCTGCCCCTGCACCCCTACCAAATTCCTAGGAAATAAAAGTTTGAAGAATTGGCCCTAAGTCAGACAGGAAGGGCTAAGGTGACTCTCTAGCCCCCTGGCCAGATTTTTAAAGACATGAGGATGTGCTTGTATGTGATGCTAGAAGAGCTCTATTTCTACCTACTCCTGCTAAATTAAAAATAAATTATTTTTTTGAAGTTTGAAAACCTGACCCTATTGTAAGAGAGATTAAGGTGAAGAAGGGTCAGCCTCTGCTTCTATAGGCCCCAGTCCCGAGATACAGGAAAGAAAACTTTGAGAAACTGCTTCTATGGAAACTAGAAGGTGAGGGAGAAGGTGTTTCTTTCCAACATTCCAAAAAAATGGCATTTTTTTTTAATTTGAGGAACTGCTGTCTTATGACTTAGAAAAAGATTATAAAAAGATTTTTAGTCTGTTTTCCTCAGTGTCTCCCTCAAAAGCAATTTGTTTGTTTTTAATTGAAAGGGCAAAAGTTCTGCCCTGTAGAGACGCAGAGGATTACTGACTCTTTCCTGCATCTTACCCACCTGATTGGTTTTTGGAATAAAAAGTTGAAGAATTGCTCATCTATAAGATGACAGGTGAACCAAAATCTTTCTTTCCTTCTCCCCAAGAGGAAGCAAGGCTACTTTCAAAAAATAAAAGCATTGGAAATTAAGAGTAGACAAATGTCTTTTCTCTGCCCAAACCTTAATTTTTTTTTTTTTAATTTGATGTTTAAAGAATTGGGTCAATATGAGAATGGTTGTGGAATTCTTTTCCGCTTACAGCTTCCCCAAAGTTATTATTTTTGAACTACATGCCCACTTTCCCTGGAGACCTACTCTGTGGGAATTTGGCCCTCCGTGGGGGAAATGCAATTAACGCAAGTTCGCCTTTCCTGACAAACACAGGCACACACGTGAGAAGTTAAAAGAATCCTCTAACTACTTCCTCCAACACCCCCCCAAAGGTGGAGATTAATTAAAAATAAAAAGTAGCCATTTCTCTTTCTACCAGCCTGGCAAGTGTGTCCCTGGCAGAGATTTGGCAGCCCCTGCCAAGGCTGGTGTGGATCAGGCATCAAGGGAGCCAGCAGCCTGCAGAGTCTGGCAGAGTTGAGCTCCTGGGAGCGCCAGGCGTATGGGCTGCCAGGTAGCCCCCTGCCTGCCAGCCTGCCATGCACCAGGCGGCTGGGGGCCTTGGTGCCTGGAGGGACGCCCCAGGTTCCATGTCTCTGGCTCCATCCCTGAATGACAGTTGCCCAGCACCTGCCTGAAGGCCAGGCCCCTTCCTCTGCCTAGGCCAAACCTGAGCTCCCCACTCCCCCAGTAACATGGTGTCTCAGTCATACCAAGGAAAAATCTAGCCCAGGAGTCAGTAAAACCTGAGGGAGTACATATTCATTGAGCACTTATATATGTAAATATGAAGATGACATGGTGTGTCTTGGAAGGCAGACACTCCATACAGAGGATCATGGCTTCTGTGGCTTCTGGCAGCCCTTCCCAAATTGAGCAGGCCTCTGACCACCAAGAGGCCCTGTTCATAGACCTCCACACCCCAGCCCAGAGTTTCCAATTCATTTAGTCTGGGTTAGGAACCACGAATGTGCATTTCTAGCACAGTGCCCAGGGATGCCAACCACCTTTGTAAAACCATTGCAACATACATGGGAGGATGAGAAAGAGGAAGAACTCATCCACAGGGGTGGGAAGGGGTGGGGCATGAAGATTCTAGCAGGAATGACACCCTGCTGGAGGGTGGCTAGAAGCATCCTTCTCCTCCGGCTCTTAATGAGATAGCAGGATCTTTCTACAACAGGGATTCTTAGGCTCCTTGGTTAAGTTTGATGATTCACTTTAAGAAAACTTATATCTACATGTGTATTCTGGGAGAGGAAATCTTTCTTTCTTTCTTTCTTTCTTTCTTTCTTTCTTTTTTTTTTTTTTTTTTTTTTTTTTGGAACTGGAGATTTATCTCAGCCCTGAGAGGAAATCTTTGATTTGAGCCAATTTCTCAAAAGTGTTCAGGGGCCACAACCTGGAATGACCTGTAGCCTGGCTCCAGGACCTCTGGCATGTAAAGCCTCATGATCTTTCTCAGCCTTCATCTCCAGCTCTTTCTGAATCCCACCACCAATGGCACTGGGCCTTCTTTGTTTTTTTGGTGGAACCAGGGATTGAATTCAGGCCCTTGCGCTTGCCAGGCAAGTGCTTATTCCACTGAGCCATCTCCCTGGTCCATGGCACTAGGCCTTCTGTTAACACATCTGGACAGAAATCCAGAAGCTTTCAGCACCATTACAGTGAAGTTCTTCCCCCAGGGGACCCAGCCCTGGAAAATGTGTCCCTTCTTCACTATCCCAGGTGGGTGAGAGGGTATGCTAAGGAGATAGTGACTCAGCTTGATGATTTTCTGACAAAATCCAATTCATAAATGAAGTCACAAAGCTGGGTATGGTGGGATATATATCTGTAATCCCAGTACCTGGGAGACTGAGATGGGAAGATCACTGTGAATTTATGGCCAGCCTGCATAACCTAGTAGACCCTATCTCAAAACAAACAAACAAACAAACAAAACTACACATTTCCCAAACCACAGCAAAAGCTAGGCAGTCACCCTGCTTAGAACACTCACTAAGGGTAGGTTCTCAACAAGCAGAAGTCGAATGAAACTTTCAGAGTGTCCCAAGGACCTGCCCAAGAAAGTGGCGAGGAACTGTGCAAGGTGGCTGTGGTCCCATCAGGCGCACTGTGGTCTTGTCTTACCCCCTCACGTGCAGGGAGCAGGGATACCAAGATCAGCACGATGAGGTGACCCAAATCCATGTCACATGAAGAAGGATGAGAGGAGAGCTCTGACGCACACTAGAACAGCTCGAGACAGGGTGGAGGAAGAGAGAGGTACAGGCAGCCAGCATATTTTGTAGAAGCTCAGGGGGCCAGACCCGCTCCGAGATAAAACAGCCGCCAAGACTTAGCATGTAAGTGACCACTGAAAGACCAGAACTCACATTGGTGGACAAATGGTCCAGGAGGGATCTCCAAAGTTCTCCCATCTTTGGTGGGGCCTCAGTGCAAGTCGACATACCTCATTGATCAAATTCTGGAAACTTCTGCCCTTTCCGTGCCCAGCCCACTGCCCCCTCAACACTTGCAGAGGGCACCCTGAAGAGCCCCACCCATGGAGTTTCATGCCCGGCCCTGGGCCAGACCTGCAGGATCTCAAGTAATTAGGTTCCTCCCCACTCCTGTTTGTTTGTCTGTAAAATGGCACTGCGGGTGTTGTCTGCCTCGCAGGTGCTCTGCAGGCCAGTGAGAGAACTTGTGAAGTTTCTATAAAGCACCTAAAGCAGAAACAATACCCCATGGTTGGCAGCTGGAATTCCCACCCCTGCCTTCCATCAGCTGTGGGCTCGACTCCTAGCTTAATCTCTGGGCCTTAGTTTCTATCTGAGAAAAATGTAGCAGTTATCAGGCCACTTTCAGTAGCTATCAGTAGAAACAAGTCATACTTTAAAAAAAAAAAAAATGCTATTTTGTTAAATTGAAGAGTAGTATTCAAGGGCCGGAAATAAAAAAAGCCTTCAGGAAATTCGAATCAGGAACCAGAAAAGCTTTAGAAACTAGGCTGGTTCTTGCCACCACTCTGGGCCACGGGTCTCTTGACATCTGGTCCGGAATTCATCTTCATCCCCACGCCCAATGCATGTGGTCTCTGCCTCTCTGAGCCTGCAGTCACAATGTCACCCACAGGCCTCGTAATGTCTACAGGTGCTGAGTGGTGTCTCTGGGCACCAATCCAAGCTCTCTGGGGAGGGAAGGTGACTGGCCAATCATTGACACCAGAGCAGATCATCTGAGGCCATGGGGGCAGAGTCCCATAATGAGGCACAGAGCCTGGGAACCACACCTGAGGGACAGGGAAAGGCACAGTGCCCTCAGGGAGGATGTGCAGACTCCCCGAGGTCAGGTACTTGCAGGCGCCTGGGCCTCACCCTTGGCCACGCTATGAAGCTACCTGATGACATTCGGGAAAGCTGGGTTAGAATGCTGAGCTGGCCACAGACGTCAAGCTCATGTCACAGCAGAAGGGGCTAAGAGATGGAGCTGCCCAGAAGAGGCCTTTGGTTCCCAAATAGCCCGGGGAGCTTTGCTCAAAGGTAGTAAAAGGATTCTGGTTGAAGCTATCTTTAAAATGAAACAGGATGGGGCTGGTGAGATGGCTCAGTGGTCTAAAGCACCTACTTAGAACAAGCTTAGCAAAGCGCAGGGACCGTGGTTCAATCCCCCAGCACCACATGCCAGCCAGCCCCGTCCCCTGGTGGGCTGAGCTGGCCACACACACACACA